ACATAATTTTCTTTTCCCTTAGTTACAGAACCCTCAGGTTGCTCCATATAAATCTCCTCATCTAATCACCATGAAGAAAAGCAGTCTTGACATCCATCTGCTCAACCTCTAAAGCTAGACTTGCGGCTAAGCCTAGAACCACACGAATAGAAGACATCTTCACATCAGGGGAGAAAATTTCATCAAAGTCAACTCCCTTCTTCTGGCCAAAACCTTTAACAACTAACCTCTCCTTGTATCTAGGCGTAGAGGTATGGTTATCTTGCTTTATTTTGAATATCCATTTGTTAGATAAAACTCTCTTACCTTTCGGCAATTTCACTAACTCATATGTGCCATTCTCATGGAGTGACTTCATCTCATCTTCCATCGCTTCGATCCAATGATCTTTGTGATTATCTTGCATGGCTTCATCATAATTCTCAGGTTCTCCCATGTCAGTCAAAAGTACATACTCATCAGGAGGATAGCGCATGGATTTTTGCTTCTCCCTTGTAGATCTTCTAAGAGAGGTTTCGGGAGCATTCGTAGTAGTTACCTGTGCAGGAATTGGTTGCTGATCAACCACAACTTCATCAACTGGAGCATCCATAACATCTACACCATGATGATCATTTTGATTTTGATCACTATCTCCATGCATTGTTTTGGGTTCCTTTATGTGCAATAGGTGCCTTAGCAATTGAAACTGGATCAATATCAACTAAGCTTCTCATTACTCTGAGAATCTATCTTCTCAGCTTTGTCAATATCTTCAATAGTTTGTCTTTCAAAGAATATTGCATCACGACTTCTAATAAGTTTATTATCAATTGGATCATAAAAACGATACCCAAACTCAATCTTGACCATAATCGATAAAGATGCACTGCTTAGTTTTGACAATGCAGTTTCGATCTCTCATCTTTAGGAATATGCACACAAGCTTTACACCCAAAAACTCTCAGGTGATCATAAAGAAACATTTTGGCAAACCAAACTCTGTCTGGGACATCACCATCCAAAGCAACAGCAGGGAGACATATTGATAACATAGGCAACAGTGTTAGTGCTTCCGCCCAAAATGTATTTGGAAGTTTAGCCTCTGAAAGTAAGCATCTAACTCTCTCAACTAGAGTTCTATTCATCCTCTCTGCCAAACCGTTCAATTGAGGCGTCTTGGGCGGAGTTTTCTGATGACGAATTCCTTGTTCCTTGCAATAGTTATCAAAGGGACCACAATATTCACCACCATTGTCAGTGCGAATACATTTTAATTTCTTCCCCGTCTGTCTCTCAGCTAAGGCCTGAAATTCCTTAAACACGCAAGTGCTTGATCTTTAGATTTCAAAAGATACACCCAGAGCTTACGAGATGATCATCAATAAAGGTCACAAAGTAAAGTGCACCACTTTTTTGACTTACTTTAAAAGGACCACACAAATTAGAGTGTACTAGCTCTAATAAATCGGGCTTTCTTGAGGGAGGATGGCTATGAAAGGAAACCATTTTCTGTTTGCCAGCTAAACAATGTATCCACCTTTGCACCTTTGCTTGTTTTACTCCAGAAAGCAAACTTTTCTTAGCCAAAACACGTAATCCCTCTCTCACTCATATGACTCAATCTTCGATGCCACAATTCTGACAAACTATCACTTTCCACCAGATTTATTGAGTCATTAAGAATAGAGCCTTGTGTCACATATAATTGACCAGACTTGACTCCTCGAGCCACTACTAATGAGCCCTTGGTGAGCTTCCATTGGCCGTTAAAGAGAGCATTATGGTAACCTTCATCGTCTAATCTTCCTGCGGAGATCAAATTGAAAGGAAAGTCTGGAGCATGCTTCACACCTTGAAGAACTAACGTTGAACCATTATTAGTTTTCAAACAAACTGTGCCAACACCAAACACCTTAACTTCACTGGCATTGCCCATCTTTAACATTCCAGAATCAACATGAGTATAAGATGAGAAAAAATCTTTTCTTGGTGTGACATGTGAGGTAGCTCCAGAATCTACTATCCAACTCGTCTCATGGGATACCAAATTGATGACGTTTTCATCATAAGCAAAAAGAGGTCATCTTGAACAATAACAGCAACATTGTTCTCGTTATTTTCAACTTTCTTTCCTTCTTTAGTGTCTTGATTCAACTTGCGGCAAAACCTTTTGATGTGTCCTTTCTTGCCACAGTGGTTGCATGTAACATTATAGTATTTGGACCTTGACTTACTTCTACTTTTACCTCTATTCCTTGAGCCTCTTGTTCTATCTCTCCCCTTGTCTTCTGTAACCAAGATATCTGCTTGTGAGGATGAACCCTGCGATTTTCTCCTTACTTCCTCGTTCAACACACCACTCTTGGCATATTCCATGGTCACCTTACCTCCAGGAGCTGAATTTGTCAAAGAAACACGAAGAGTTTCCTAAGAGTCTGGCAGAGTATTAAGAAGCCAAAGTCCTTGTATCTCATCATCAAAATTAACCCCCATTCCAGATAGCTGATCAAGGACGCCCTGAAAATCATTTATGTGATCAAGGATAGGGCTTCCTTCCTTGTATTTAAAGGTCATCAATTGCTTTAGCAGAAACAATTTGTTGTTCCCGGTTTTTGAAGCATAAAGAGTCTCTAGCTTTTCCCACAATGATCTCGCATGTATCTCGTTCACAATATGGTTGGGAACATTATCTTCAACCCATTGCCGTATATATCCACATACTTGTTGGTGCTCCAAATCCCAATCTTCATCGGATATACTCTCGGGTTTATGAGCTGAAAAACGGGTAGATGCATCTTCTTCACGAACAACAAGTCTTTCATTTTGCTTCTCCAAACATTATAATTTCTCCCATTTAAACATACCATCTTGCTCATATTCGCCTCCATTCCGTAATAACCCGGATAAATAACCAAGGCTCTAATACCACTGTTATGTCGAGGAAGAGGCAAATCCGAAAATAAAGAAGATAAAGAACACCAAATTTTAACGTGGAAAACCCTTCAAATCGAAGGTAAAAACCATGGGATCACAAAGATCCAAAAAACTCCACTATAACAATAAGAGGGTTACAAAAGTTCTCCAAATTGGCTACATAACAAGGGCCAAACACGGAGCAACAATAGCAACAAGAGCAACAACTAATCAATTGAAGAAAGAGTATAATCCACAAAATGAAGCTGCTGTTCGACGCTTGAAATCAGATGCTACGGGCCTCCAAATCCGATCTCCACCATTCAAATCCAAGATCAAGATGTTACGAACACTCAGTCAAAATTTCAGCCCGATCCAACGGTTAACGAATTGGAAAACGTGATTTGAAGTTGGCTGGTCGGAATAAAAATCTGCAGCAAAACAAATACTTTTTTTTTCTCTCTTCTCTCTTGATGAAAGCTCTCTCTAAACCCACTCTTATGTGCTTAAGTCTTTCAAAGACTTGTATCAATGAGCATAGAATAATTCTCCAAGGTTTTCCTATTTATAGATCATGAGTGGTGCTTTCTCTTAAAGCCAAAACCCACTCAAAATAGGAATAAACCGAATCCAATTCCAAATAGGATTGGAAACCAAAAGAGAATAGGATTAGGCCATTGGGCCTTTGGCTGGACAACATGGGCATGTGCCCAACAGGGGAGGGGGGAATTGTTTATTTTTAAATATTAATCGCTACCAGTTGACTAGTTTTCTAATTAGTCGACTAGATGTAATAACTTGATAACAGTAAGGACTGAATTTAAGATGCAGGAATTAAAGACAGTGGAATTTTATACTAGTTCGGATTCAATGTGAATCCTAGTCCAGTCCCCTTGGGTTGCAAGGGAGTTCTCTTTCGGTGAATAAGCTTCTCGAGTACATAGTGGATGGTGTGATTTACACCGATAGCTCAGTTCCTATATCACTTGTTTCTCTTTGTTACAATGTCTCACCAGTGTTGTTCTCTCTTTCTTCTCTAACTTGTTACACAACAGATCTAGTGGAGCTACAATGTTTGTTTGCAGTAGAACAAAGAGAGGGTATTTGGTTCGATCAAAGTATATGTGCTAAGGTACAGAGATGAGTTTAAATACTTTGAGAGAGGCTTGATTTTTGAAGAGATTTGCCAACCCAAGAGATTTGATCCTCAGAAAGAGATTAATTCTTTCCAAGAATAAGGTTATTCAGCAACGGCTTTGTCTTGACGAGAGGGCTTTAATAACTTCCCTTATACATGACTTGATAGTGCCGGATATCCTTCCTTGAATCTTGGTCCTTCCAGATTTAGCATACTTGATTAATTATCTTGCAAGATCTTCGATATTCTTTTTTTGATTGATTCCTTCAGTCTAGACTTAATTGATTCCATCAGTATTGGACACTATCATTGATTCCTTCAATCTTGGATGATTTCCTTGATCTTCTTTGATTGATTTCTTAAATCTTGAATGCTTTCCATGAGTTCCTATACAAATAACAAATAGATTATTTTCATCATGAAAATCAGATCTAATAATCTCTCCCCTTTTGATGATGACAAAATAATATACATACATACATATATATATATATATATATATATACATACATATATATATAATATATATATATATATATGTGTGTGTGTGTGTGTGTGTGTATAAACATCAGTTGACTTCCCTATTTTTTACTCCACCTCAATAAGAGCAGTTGACTTTCTCTGGTTATAGCTGTTGATGCTCTTGTAGTCGACTTCTTCTGTAGGATCTATGACTCCCATCAAGAGGTGCCGTGAGCTGCTACCTGCACTTACCCTTCAGTGCTGCTACCTACACTTACCCTTCAATCGACCTTGTATGTACATGTACAAATACATATATCCTTTCTCCCCCTTTATGACATCAGTAAAGAGGGAATAGTAAAGCAGACTACATACTAAAACATGATTTATAGCATGATATGCTTGCAAGGTTATAGAAAAACTAAAGAAAACAGAAAAATTATCCACGGACTGATTATCTAGTCCAAAAATAGCACAACAAAAAAAATTGTCTTAAACTTCCACATTACTGACGTAGAAAATAGGTAAGAGTATTGCAAATCGCCTCCTTCAGTTGATCAAAGCTGGCATTGGCTGAAACACTCATTCCATCAAGCTTGTCATGAACATCCTTGAATGCCTTGACATCGTTTTCCCTTACTTTGAGAACTACAACTCTTATCTTGGAAATATCAGACCCTGTTTCTTTGGAGATAGCATGAATGTCACCAATAATGGACTGAGTGGTAGTGAGCAGATCTTTGATTGCAGTAGCTGATTGTCAATGGCAGTAAGCTTTTCAGCAAGGTCAGGATCACTGTGGCTAGGATGGGAAGCAGAAGGTTTGGATTAGAATCGGTTTGAGCATGCTTGACTTCTCCTTCTTGTTTCTTAACCCATGATCCCTTCACACACATATACCCCATACTCGCAAAAGCTCTGGAATGGTAAGATTTTGAAACAGAGATAAAGGGATATTCAGAGAAGGAAATATTATTAGCTTCCAGAATGTGAGTGATGGCCATGCCATAGGGTAGTCTAGTGGGTTTATCAGCACTTTCAATCATAAAATTGATGACCCAGGAGGACAGCTTGAGAGAAGGTGGAGAAAGAGCCAGTACAAGGAAGTAGAGTGGTTGCAACAATGTGGTCCAGAATACGAGTTTCGAAACTAACATCACTAGGGCCTAACTGGTTTGGGAGAGATTTAGATGGACACTCAGCAATACACCTTTTAGCTTGAACAAAAGATTTTTCAAAATCATCGGGCCAGGAATTTTTGAAGAGCATGGGGAAACCAGAACACTTACACTGAAAGATTGAATCAAAGATGGCATAATCAAGAACAATACGCTTTCCTAACACTAAGGACTCCAACTTATCAGACTTACTAGAGCGAAGATTTGCATAAAACATTCTCACTAGGGGTTCATAGACTTTAGGCAGAGGGATTTTTGGGGTGTTTGTCCATTGAAAAGTATTTGGTTGGGGAAAGCTTCTGAGAAGGGTTTCTAGGCGATGGGGACGATGGAGATTGAAAAGAAGTTTCAGCATTAAAAAAAGGGTTTCTGACGGTTGAGTATAAAAAAGGAAAGGGTGTCAGTTGATCAGACGTGATGACTGGTTTTCCTTCTTTGAACTCTGCAACTGATGTGAAAAGAGAGGAAAAGAGTGGGAAATCGGAGGTGCAATTAAGAAAGAAATAAAACATTAGGCATATAGAAAAAAATAATAGCACATAGGTCCTAATATTAACGATTAATGCAAATAATGCCAAGTAATTCTCTTAGAGAGCAAAATCTTTCTTCTAATAAAGGCTTAGTAAAAATATCCGCTAATTGATTAGTAGTTCCAACAAAAGATAGTTATATGTTTCCTTTAAGAACATGATCTCTAATGGAATGATGCTTGATGTCTATATGCTTTGCCCTAGAATGATGCACATGATTTTTAGAGAGACATATAGCACTAGAATTATCACAAAAAATTGGTATGGGCTTAAAAGATAATTCATAGCCACCAAGTTGATGAGATATCCATAGTAATTGTGTACAACATTGTTCAATAGCGATGTATTCAGCCTCAGTCATGGATAATGCAACTGATCGTTGTTTTTTACTGTTCCAAGATATCAATCCTTTGCCAAGTAATTGACATGTTCCACTTGTGCTTTTTTTGTCTTCCTTATCACCTGCAAGATCAACATTTGAAAAACCTTCTAAATTAGACGTGTTAGAACGAGGATACCATAGTCCATGAGAGACAGTGCTAATGAGATATCGAATAATTCTTTTTACTGCAGTCAAATGTGATTCCTTAGGAGCTGACTGAATCTTGGCACATTTATAGACACTAAACATAATATCTAGTCGACTAGCAGTTAGATAAAGAAGTGAGCCAATCATTCCACGATACTTAGTTTCGTAAACAGGAATTCCCTGTTCGTCTTTGTCGAGACTTATTGAAGGACTCATTGGTGTGCCAATAGCTTTAGCATTGCTCATACCGAATTTTTGGATCAACTCCTTTGTATATTTGGTCTGACATATGAACGTTCCTTCTTCAGATTGTTGGATTTGAAGTTCAAGGAAGAACGTTCGTTCTCCCATCATACTCAAGGAAAATTCCTTGCACATAAGAGGATTAGCACTACGAAAGATAATATCATCAATATAAATTTGAATAATGAGATTACCTTCTGATGATCTTTTAATAAACAAAGTAGTGTCTACTTTACCTCTTGTAAATCCATGATCAATAAGAAATGAACTGAGTCTTTTGTACCATGCCCGTGGAGCTTGTTTCAGTCCGTACAACACTTTGGTTAGCTTATGCACATGATAGGGAAACTTTGAATCTACAAACCTAGGAGGTTGTTTCACGTATACTTTTTCTTCAATGAAACCATTCAAAAAAGCACTTTTAACATCCATCTGGAATAGCCTGAATCTCTTAAAGGATGCATATGCCAGAAGAATTCGTATAGATCCCAGTCGAGCTACTGGGGCAAAGGTTTCGTCATAGTCGACTCCTTCTTGTTGTGAATATCCTTTAGCAACTAATCAGGCTTTGTTTCTTACAACTTTTTCGTCCCTATTCAATTTATTTCTGAAGACCCACTTTGCTCCAATTACAGGAACACTTTCAGATTTGGGTATCAGTTTCCATACTTGATTTTTATCGAATTGATCTAGCTCTTCCTGCATCGCTTTGCAGCCAGCTTGAGTCTTTCAGAGCTTCCTCTATTTTCTTTGGCTCAATATGAGAAATTAGTTGCTATGTTTGCTTTCTTCTTGAGATTTCCCCTGGTTTTTATTCCCTCGCTTGGATCTCCTATGATTAATTTTTAAGGATATTCTGGTTCACTTCTCCATTCATTTGGACGAACTATATGAGTAGTTGACTCCTTCGGAGGTTCTGGTGGATTGTTGCTGGTTTCATTAGTTGACTCTATCACAACATCAGATCCATTAGTCGACTCTTGAGATTTGCTTGTCTCTTGAATTTCTTGAGCTTGATCTTCATCACCTGCAATAATTCCTTTTTCGGCCGAAGAGTTATTTTCATCAAATTTAAAATGTATTGATTCTTCCACATACAGTGTGCGTTTATTATAGACTCCAAAAGATCTACTTTTCAAAGAATAACCCGAAAAAATACCTTCATCACTTGTTGGATCAAATTTTCCAAGATTGTCCTTACCATTATTATGAATGAAACACTTACTTCCAAACGGATGAAAGTAAATAATATTAGGACGTTTACCTTTCCACAGTTCATAAGGTGTTTTCTTCAAAATAGGTTGTATGAGACATCAGTTGAGAATGTGACATGTTGTACTTACTCCTTCTACCCAGAAGTGATTTGGCAGTGAATGTTCTAGTATTATAGTTTTTTCCATATCTTGCAGGGTTCTATTTTTCCTTTCAGCGACTCCATTCTGCTGGGGTGATCTTTGGTGCAGAGAAATTGTGAGTATATCCTTGATCATTACAGAAGTCTTCAAATGCTCTGCTTTCAAATTCTCCTCCATGATCACTTTGGATTGTTGTAATCAGATACCCCTTTTCTCTTTCAACCTTCTTACAGAAAATCTCAACAAATTTCAACGCTTCATCTTTATGAGATAAGAAAATCACCCAAGTAAAACATGAGTAATCTTCAACAATAACAAAAGCATATCGTTTCCCTCATATGCTAGCAGTTCTAGTGGGCCCAAATAAATCCATATGAAGCAATTGCAAAGGCTTAGAGGTAGATACAATATCCCTGTTTTTGAAAAAGTTTCTAGTTTGTTTTCCAATTTGACAAGCATCACATATATGATTTCTAGAGAAATTTAGTTTGGGTAAGCTAATAACTAACTCATGCTTAGAAAGTTTTTCTATCAAATGCATGCTTGCATGACCAAGTTTCTTATGCCATAACCAAGGATCATCAGATATGCATGTTAAACAAATATGAACATCTATAGTTTCAAATCCATCAAGAATATAAACATTTCTATACCTTTTACTTGGGAGGGTTATTTTACGTGTCTCATCTTTAATAGCATAGCCTGTTTTCTTGAATTTTAACTCATACCCTGAGTCGCATAGCTGACTTATACTCAGAAGATTGTAGTTAAGTCCATCAACGAGATAAACCTCAGTGATATCACAGTTGTTATTGAAAGGGACTGTTCCGGTACCGACTATTTTTCCTTTTGAATCATCGCTAAACTTAACACTTCCTCCATCTATTTGTAACTTCCTTAAACAGTGTTTTGTCACCTGTCATATGACTGGAACATGCACTATCTAAGTACCATTTTCCTTTGCGAATCCTCATGTGGTGTTCCAACAAGACATAGTGATTACTTTCTTTTAGGTACCCAAGCTTGCTTGGGTCCTGGTTGGTTTGTATTACTTGACTCAGAATTGTTTTTGGGTTTCCAATCCAACCTGAAACATTTGATTTACGAAATTGACAAAAGGAATATCTATGCCCACTTCTGTTACAGTAGTGACACGTAACTCTTGATCCATTTTTGGACCTTTCATTAGTGTTAGTACTAGTGGACTCTATTCTGGCTGGTCCTTCTCTAGTTGACTTGTAAGTCGACTGGTTTGACCTGACAGAACTATGACTGGTGGATTTGCGCCTGCCATTGAGTTGCATTTGCAATTACTCAAACTCTTCTTGAAGTGCTTCTTTTTCGATTTCACCTACTTCATGCTTGAGTTTCCAGTCTTTTACTTCTTTGTTGAGACTCTTTAGTTCATTCATCATTTTTTGAGACTCTTTCAAAGTAAGATCAAGAATATCCTGCAATTCATTACACCTTTCACAGTTATAAGATCTTACCTCGCTTGTTTCCCCTCATGCCATGAAACAGTTCTCATTGTCATCTTTGCATTCTTCGTCTGAGGTGTCCTCATCTGTCCAGCATCCTGAAAGTTTGTTCATGTCATTTTCCAAAATTGTCATGAAGCAAAGATCTGCTATTTCTTCGTGTTCTGAACTGTCTTCATCACTCCAGCTTCCAAATGATTTGTTCTTGTTGAAGCCTCTGGAGATTTTTCTTTTTAGATCTGGACACTCAGCTTGAACATGTCCAAATCATCCACACTCATAGAATTTTTCATCATTTTTGTCTTGTTCATTATATTGCCTGGATCGCCTAGGTGGCATCCTTCCTCTTCTCGCATTCCTGAATCTTCTCATAAAACCATCCATGTTTCTTGACACCATGGCAATTTCTTCTTGAAGAGCTTTAGGATCATCATCGATATCATTTTCTGCTATTTCAGTTGTGGCCTTGAATGTAACTGTTTTCTTCTTTTCTTCTTGGTTTGTTTTCTTGAGATGTGTTTTCTCGAAAGCTATGAGTTCTCTTCGAAGCTCATCATATCATAGCTTATTCAGATCATGTGATTCAAGAGTGACCATTTTGGTCTACCAAGTAGTGGGTAGGCTTCTAAGAATCTTCCTAACTTGATCACCACTTGAGTATGGTTTGCCAAAACCTTTTAGATCGCTAAGTATTTTGCTGAATGTAGCACACATATCTTAAATATATTCTCCTTCTTTCATCTGAAAGAGTTCATAATCATGAACCAACATGTTGATTTGTGTTTCCTTTACCTTGCTGGTTCCTTCGTATGTAACTTCAAGTTTATCCCACATCTCTTTGGCTGTATCACAACTGGAGATTTTCTCATACTCTTCACCACTTATAGAATTGTAGAGCAAATTTCTTGCCTTATTGTTGACTTTTACAACTACCATTTGCTCATCTGTATATGAATCTATATCTTCGGGATCAGTAAGTGGTTGAGCGGCAGAAATTAAATGCAGGAATTAAAGACACCGAAATTTTATACTGGTTCGGATTCAATGTGAATCCTAGTCCAGTCCCCTTGGGTTGCAAGGGAGTTCTCTTTCTGTCACGCCCCAAAATCGTGGAACGTGACCGGCGCTCAACCGAGTAAACCCGCCTGAGAAAGCCTGTTAGATTTCATTCTACCCAAACTAGTTCATGGATAAAGAGGGAATGTTATCCCATTTTATCAAAACACTAAGCAATCTTCCATTAACGGCTTTCAGTTTATTTCCGTCAATGACTTCATTCATAGTTTTAAAAATATTACAAGTCTAAAAATTTAATGAAAAAGCATGCTTATCAAATACCAACATTCTAGTCTCGACCCCCAACATTAACCATCACCCACAAACAATCTACGGAAATACAGTAGAAGAATGGTAGGGAATTGCCGGCAATAAGGCTCCGGCTATACCTCAAAATGTGATGAGAAAACGAACAAAAGATACATGACATGACCCCGGGATGGAGTAGGGCTCACCAAGACTGCTGGGATGAGAATACCGTTATCACCGGCCAATGCCGCTCGCTGTGGAACCACCTGGATCATTAAACGATACAGCGCCCCCGGCAAAAGGGACGTTAGCGCCGTCGAATAGCACTAGTATGTAAGGCTAAAAGTCCTCTTTCAAAATAGAATGTCCAATAAGCAGAGACAACACATAGAAACAACAAGTCACAATCAACAATATCCAAATAACCAATTGAAACATAACGATNATAGTATATATATATATATATATATATATATATATATATATATATATATATATATATATATATATATATACATATATATATATATATATGTATATATATATATATTTGGGTGGGAGATCACTAGCACCGATATTACCACCGCCTTTGTTAGCACGGAGTCCGACCACGCCCGATCGGCTAGGCCATCTCCCCACGGACAATGTGGTTTGACATTATGATGCGAAAGAAAGTTGTTACAATAGTAGTACCACCATGTGCGCAACATGGAGTCTGATCTCCACCCGATCAGCTAGGTCGCCTTCCCACATATGCCGTGTGGGTTGGATTTTTCTTTTCCAATTTACAGGTATTAGTTTCATCCCACTTTGGGGGAATAATCACAATTTCACCAATATTTCAATTTTATCCCAAATCACAATC